CTTATGATCTAATTTGTGCTCTAGGCCCCACGCTTCCGCTCTAGAATCGCGAATTTGCCTCAAATTGAAAATTTGCAAATTATATCAGGACCGTTTGCGACTTACCATATTGGTGGGGTAAATTCATAATTTGAGGTTAGTTTGGGAATTAATTATTTTAATTAATTGATTTTTTCAAAATATATATATATATATATATATATTATATATATATATATAAAATAGACAAAATGATATAATAACTTGTAATGACTTTATAATTATTTTAGTCACTTCTCAAACAAGGCTTTATAATTACAACTTTCGACACCTCACGCATTTGTTTCAATTGTCCTTTTACAGGAAATTTTATGGTGTGCACCCTTTTAGGAGTGCATATCATATGCATCGTATCACAAAAATTTATGACTTTATTATAAAATTTCGTAATATCAATCACAAAATGAGTAAACTCGTCACAAATTAACGTAACACAAATGTTTAAAATTTTGTGGTTAATGTTGTTAAAATTTGTAATTTGATTATGATATTTTTTGTTACGTCATTTTGTAATTGATGTTATGAAATTTCGTAATAAAATAATACACTTTTTTAGTATATGGTAGGGGTGTACACCATAACATTTTCCTTCTTATGGATTGCGAATAAGCAGTAGAACCCACATCATATTTTTAATAAAAAATTAAAATTAATAATTTTAAAAAAAATTAAAAAAAAAATTAGAGCTTGACCTTTGGAAAAAAAATAAAATTTTAATTTTGTTAATTTAAACTGTAAATTTTAGATTTCTTTTCTTAAATTTAAGCTATCTACAAGAAAATTAGTATTTTAATTATTAAACTCAATGAAAAAAATTAGTATTTTAGATATTTTATGTAAAATTACATTAATATGAAGAAATCATTAGAAGAAGTAAAAAATATAAAATATGAAAATGATACGGAGGCTTGTTATCCAATGATTCATCTGTAAGAGAGATGATTGGCCAATATATATATATAAAATATCTAAGACTTTCTTTTTTTGGCATCATTTTGATCCTCTTTCTCTCTCTCATTGGTTGAATTTTCTTTTCTTTTTTTTCTTTTTTTTTCTTGTCCTTCAATCACCACCCATGTGTGTGGGGTGGTGATCGAGGGTCTCTATCACTTCTATATATATATATATATATATATGAGAGAGAGAGTGTGTGAGAGAGAGAGAGAGAGAGAGTTGTATTCGACATCCTAATTGATTGGTACCCAGATCTAACTTTTGGGATAGAATATCAATCCTTATAAAATATTGCTTTATTACTTTATGATCTAACAAACATAGATTACAACAAAAGCAAACAAACATTAGATAAAATATAAATTTATAATACAAAATAAAAGTTAGACTAATTACAGGAAATTTTTAATTAAATGGTACTTTTATCATTTTTTTTTAAATGTAAAAATTACAAACTATGCATTATTGGGTTTTGTTTAATAAAGATTAATTTCATAAAATTTAATTTGTGAAATTTTTTTAATTTTATCATACACTTAGTATTTTTAACTTAGACATTATGCAATAACATAAAAAATAAATGAATTTGATTGATATTGAAGTAATTCTAACATAAATATAAAATAACATGACATAGTACTTCCGCAAGCATCTCATCTCCTCCGTTCCCCCTATGTCTGTTTTGGTGGTTGTTTTCTTCTTTCTTCTTGTTGGTTTCTCGCTAATTCTGGAAATGTTAGCAAATGATAGAATGAGCTTTTTGGTGTTAACTTAGTTGAGATGATTTACCTTATTGTGATGCCTTTACATTTTTCTTTCCTTTTTTGATGTAATATGTTTTGCACTTTGTACTTCATTTTTACACCAATAAAGTTTTTTTCTTTTTCCGATCAAAAACAAAACATGACATAGTACATACTTTTGATTGGGGCCTTTAAATTTTGTTCAAATTTAAGACCCAAGGCGACCACATTGATCTTCTCATCTCAGGACCGGTCCTAAGACATGACTTTTTATATAAGAAAATTATGTTTGATTGTGGTGATTAATTTTTGTCTTGTTAAACTTCTTTCATTTTACAATGACAGGTTTAAAGTGATCTAAGACGTGACATAAAGACAAAAGTGGAGCATATCTTATTCTGCATGCCATGCTTGGATCCATGTAACGTAAACTATCCATGAAAGGCTTTTAAGGCGCCAAAAAAATATATATATATTAAATTATGTTTGAATTATGAATTTGAGTATAAATTTAGAAAGTAAATGAAAAATGTGGATGAAATATATGAATTGCAATTACATTTTATTTATATTTTTTCTTTTCTTTTTTAAATTCTTATAAAAATTCATAAACCAAAGACAATATAATATTCTGTTTGGATTATGAATTTGAGTAGGAATTTGACAAGTGAAAAAAAAAAGGTGGATGAAATATATGTGAAACACGCCCATATCTTGCCTCTCTCATTTCAAATCTCTATTTAAATTTATAATTCAAACACAACTTAAGATAATATATGCTAACTGTGGAGGTTTTTTCACAATAAACGTGCAATGCATATGCACACGAGTCAATAATAGAAGCACATGATGGCAATGGATATTAAGAATGTTCAAATTGATTTTTGAATTATTGCCAATGGAAAAACAAGAAAGAGGAATAGAATCTGGCAATGGAAGGAACTGATTCCTTATTGAAAACATGTGCACATCATATAATGAGAACTACTCTGGAAGGTGTAGGTGTGATGCGGGGAAGGTAATGGGATGAACATTCAATCATCAAGAATAACTGATAAAAAGAGGGAGAATTCTATGGTACACACCATTCACCATATACACTTTTAGTTACTTTGTATGTTTCATCAATAAAGATTTATTTGCCGATCAAAAAAAATATACACTTTTAGTTATGTTATTTTCTTACTTTAATTATGACAAATTTTATTCTTTAATTATGATATTATTTTGAAATGTTTGGTTATTCCTCACGTAGTCTTTGGTTGTGATTTCTTTTTATTTTATTATTCTTAAGTTATGATTCAGAGGGTATGTTTGATTAGATGGATTAGAGCATGAGATTGAGATTATTAATCTGTGGGCCCAAGTATCCTATGTTTTTTTTAACATTTTGGTTTAGGATTATTAATCGAATGGATAATTAATCCAACAAATTTGTAAGATTATTAATAATGGGGTAAAGGTGAGATTATTAATCCTATGGATAATTTATCTTATTAATCCAATTGGATAGTAAATAGCACAATAATTTGATAGGATTATTAATACATCATTATTAGTTTTGTGAATCAAACATGACCAGAAAGTATAAATTTATGGCATTTTATTATTTAATTATAAGGTGTATATGGTACACACTCTTTAATTTTTTCCTAAAAAGAGATACTCTCTCTTGTATAAAATTAAATCTCCAAAATAATCCGTCTTGCCCTAAGGTTTGCAATTCTTATTTATAATATAACGAAACCTTAATTAAACAATAAAATAAACTGGAAAAGACAATATACCAGCGAATCAAATCTAAATTAAAGGAATTACGAAAACAATAAAAAATAGAAATATTTAGGTTAAGTTCAAATATGAAAACTATAATGAAAATAAAATAAAATAAAATAAAATGGACAAATTACACTAATAGTCCCTATACTTTACTTCTTGTGTCACTTTTGTGTTTTTAATTTACTCAATTTTGACCCTCAATTTTTAATTTCACTTCATTTTAGTCCAATCAATAACCTCTGTTAAAAAATTTAACAGAAAATAATCATGTGCACAACATGTGATCAACTTTGAGGGGCAAAACAGACATTTCAATCCTATTCTTCCCTATTCCATCTCTGCAACACCCTTTGCTCTTTCCCCCCTCCTCCACCGTCTATCATCAATCTCACTCCACCACCGCCATGCTAAACAACACAACCACCACCATTCGCCACCAAACAACACCTTCTTCTATCCCAAAACAATGAAATTGAAGGCTAAACATTGCAATTTGACCGAAATCCATGATAGACCATGGCAAAGTGAGGGGTATTAGTTGCCACTTTATTTTTCATGCCCCACCAAATTCTATGTCATTCCGAGCACATATCATCTTGCGTCTATTAGTGCATGTTGCTTGTGTCTTGTTTATCCTTGAGTTCCTAAAACTCTATGGCGAAACACTCTCTATCAATGTGCCATAATAATGATCCATTTCAATGGAATTCACACACATTTATATGTGCCTGACATATGCATTGTGACATCTTATTCCCTCATATAACACCTTCCCAGTTTGGTTATTGCAAATAGAATCAAACTTCAAAGACTTTCCTTCCAAACAATTCATTGGGAATCATTGTAAAAGGGCGACACTTTTGTTTTAGAGGATTGTTATGTATCACTGGAATATTTGATCAAAACTTTTCAACTCTTTATGTGTGTTATGGTGAGTTCCATTTTTAAATATAGTGAATTTCACATGTACAACTACACTATGTTGTATGAACAAAAATAAAACTTGAAACAAAACTGTGAAATATATCCATAACAAATATCAATTCTCATAATTTTATATCTTCTTAAACTCTTTTTAACAATAAATGTCAGTGTCACCGATAAATAGAAAAGAACCAAATGAGTGGGGCGGGTGGGTCTAACCTTATCTCCGACTCAACCAACCAAAAAGTTTTCACACGATTTAGTTAAGAATACCACAGGATATCACCGTTACATCTCAAATATACTCCTCCCCCACATACAACCCAAACCTTATCTCCGACTCAACCAACCAAAAAATTTTGACACGATTTAGTTAAGAATACCACGGGATATCACCGTTGCATCTCATATATACTCCTCCCCCACATACAACCCAGTTCAAGTAGAATGCCAATGATCAAACTAGCTTATCTTAATTTTTCACACAGATTTCTACCTTTGGAATCTGATCCTAAAACACAATCTCGGACTCCAATGGCATGAGATAGGAACACCCAAGGCCCCCAACTTGAGGCCTTGACAAAAACCCAAAGTATAAAAAACCATCTCACCCATCCACCAAAATCACAAATTCATCACCAATTTTCTTGGGCAACAAATCAGCTTAACTGAGCTACGATTTCTTGTTTCATTCCTTCATCTTATTGAGGTAAGTCCCTCTACTTGGGAAATATTTGATTTTTGCTTTATTTTATCACTTTCTAGGGTTTGAACTCGTTATTCGTCTACCTTTTTGCTACCAGTAGTGGAGCTAGAAAAATTATTCAGGAGGAACAAAAATATTTGAAACAAGAGTGGGCCTATACTAAATCTTATCACACTTTGTCAACAAAAAATGCAACAATTTCAATACATACTACAACAGGAATAACGCGTGAGATCCTCTCTATTACATAATCGTAATGAAAGTTCTCCATAATATATATCATCCAAATGCAATGAAAAACAAAACCAATTGCTTTAGAAATATTAGATGATGTAATGAAGAGCTTCCATTACAACTATGATAACTATGGAATAGAGAGGATTTGAATCATTAAAATGCATCGTTTAATGGTAAAGAAAACAACTTGACATTCAAAATACAACACTTCTCATGAATTGATATTTTAATTGGGTATATATCTGGAAGAATAAAAAAAATTAAAAAGCACAGTATAATTAATTTTTCTTAGAACTTGAACACCCATCAGTTTTACCCAATTTCAAAGCACTTGAATTGCACCACAAATATCAAAGAGTAGTTGAATGAGGCGATAGCATGGTTTTGAATCGCGGTATCAGGTAATGTAACGGTATTGATTACAGAGTATTGGTATCGGTAATATTGTCCGATAAGTATCAGAAATCGGGTGTTGCAACCGTTAAATTTTAAAAATCCTTTTACAGGTTTTCAACACTTTCTTTCCAGCATCGATCCGAACCAGTGAGTATCGGTCCGTCATGGCCTATGTAATGGCTTGTGTAATGGTTACAAACCATTATGTAATGAAAACCAGCCGGTTCGCCAATGATTTTCATTCACACCGCTATATCAGTGAGTATCTGAAACGGAGGCTCGATTTTCTGTTTTTTAGAACCATGAGCGATAGTAGAGGCTTTAAACAAAATAAACATTGAAGGGTTAAATTGCAAAGATTTTATTAAAATCTAAATAAAAGAAAAGAGAGGCTATAAAAATTTAAGGGCATATATGAACTTTAAAAGGGCAAAAAAGGAAACCTATGTTAAAAAAAAAAAAGGTAATAGTTTAATTTCGTAAGTTCATATTTTAATTATATAGGTCTTTTGTGTTTGTTATTTGTATTACCTAGAAAACATAGCCTTGTTTTCCACTACTCTTTATTTTCTCGAAAAGAACTTCATATTTACAGGAGAACCAAAACTTAGTAATTCAAAAAAGTTATTGAAAAATTTATGTCAAAAAATGTAGTTTAGAGTTGTATAATGGGAGTCACATTGAAATGAATTTTAACTATAAATTACTTATTTTGAGTCCCTACCATTGTTGCAATGAAAATAAAAGCCCTTCCACAGTGTAATAAGAAAACTAAACAAAGCAACAAAATGCTGCAAGTTTTCCATGTGCATTTGCCTTTAGGTTAAGATCAGGGACGTATACCAAGAAGCACTTTGTTTCCCTTATACATTTTGGGATTTGCAGGCGATGATGTTGTTTTAGCCGTGGCCTTCTTTTATTAATGTATTATATATGTACTCTTTGTACTCTGTTTTGCATCAATAAATTTATTTTATTTTATTGATTAAAAAAAAAAGATAAAAAAAAAAGAAAAAGAAAAAGAAAAAATTCTTATGATATCCAACTTTGCTACTTTCAGATATTAAGAAAGAAAAATGAACAGGGAAGGAGATTGGATTTGTGGTTCAAGTTCATGCCGGCACCGGAACCATACGCAATGGGATTCATGCCAGAGATGTGGGTACCCCAAATTTGGAGGAGGGAGTGAAGTGTTAAACAGAACGGAAATCTTGGCTGGAGATTGGTATTGCAATGTCATTACTTGTGGAGCACACAACTTTGCAAGTCGAACAAGCTGCTATAGGTGTGGCGCGTCAAAACCTAACTATACGGAGTATGTTCAAAGTGTGATTAATGCAAGCGGGTGCGAATATAGTGGCAGTGGTCTCCCTGGATGGAAATATGGTGATTGGATTTGCCCTAGGTTAGTAATTATATATTCTTCTCTTTTTTCTTTTTATAAACAAAATAAAATATGAGTCGAGAATTTATAATTCAGATTATGTCATCGTTAAATGAAATTTTATAGAGATTGGCAATTTATTATTTATTTTATTAAATAACTACAGTAGTGTTCTCACATGTAGAGCAACTATGAAAACAAGAAGAATGTACTATTGCTCACACATTGTTTTGAAGTTATTCTTAATTAGGGTTTTTGTCTAATATGAATGTAATTTGGATTTGGCCAGCATTGAGTGTGGTGCACACAACTATGCTAGCAAGAGAGAATGTTTCAAATGCGGAATACCAAAAGAATTTGGTATGTGAACTATATATATAGCAAATATGTTGTATTTGCGGCTTCAGATGTTACATGCCCATTCTTTGTCTCACCTCTTTTCCCCACTTTCTTAGTTTTGCCATGTCATCTGAATTTAAATTTTGACAACATGTCAAACACTAAAAGAGAGGAACAGAGAGTTGGGACTGAGAATGATGTCCAAGGATCTCGAGCCATGTATTTGTTTTGTAGCTGTAAAATGATTCTTTCCAAATACTATAATTTCAGTTTCCTAAAGATAGTTATTCCTCTTGTTTTCAGGTGGTTGAATCCATAGAGTCATAAAAGGAACCTTAATTATAATGCCTTCCAATTTTCCATATACTATGTGTAATTTCAGTTTTTGCTTTTTTCTTCTTTTTCTTTTTCTTTTTCTTTTTCCCCTCAATAAGTTTAATAAGCTTCAGAATCATGGCTATGACCATTTTCACAAGCATAGTAATGTACTTGTCCCAATAAGTGTTTCAACTTTATTATGAAATGCAAGGTGTTTTTACATATTTTTTTCTTTTATCAACAAAAAGAATTTTGTTGATAAAACTCAGAGTACAAGCTAAGAAAAATACATCAATAAATGAGGTGAGTGCAAATGGTATCATAACTAAACTAGGGCTCCGTTTGGCAAGAGCTAAACGGGGCTTTTTTGGCTATTTTAGCCACAAAAGACAAAATAGGCTATTTTAGTCACAAAAAACAAAATATCACATCCAACACATAATTATTACATTTTTCTCTCACAAAAAAAGCCAAAAAAGTCAAAAAGCATTTCCCAAACCAAACTTTTTAGCCCAGGCTAAAATAGCCAAAAAAGTCAAAAAGCCAAAAAGGCAATCCACCTCCCAAACGGAGGCTAGATGATCCCATCTAGGTTGGCATCGCATAGCAAGCTCAATCACACACTAGTACACCACTAAATTGGTGAGAAACCAGCCACCAACAAACAAACAACCAAGCAGAAAAAGGAAAAAAAAAAAAAAAGAAAAAAAAAAAGCACAATTAATAGCAGCTGCCTTCAACTCTCCATAGCCATAATCAACACTTAATGAAACACCAAAAATCAAACCAAAGAGCAAATCAACAGTCCCAAAATCCAAAACAGGACTACACAATCCATAGCAGCATCCAGCCCATAGCAGCAGCCATCCCATCAGTAGTAGACTTGCTTCTTACCAACTACCAAAGCCATCTAACCAATTAGTTTTTATTGTATCATCAATTAATAAAAAAGGCAGCTTACATTATTTTCCCATTTGACAACTAGTACAAACTGGGGAAACTTTATTTTTCGATTCACAAGAAATAAGATTCCTACGGTGCGAGTGATCAACAATTCATGGCTGTGGATGTCTAAGCCGTTGGTGTCAACCCTCACTACTTATTTGCCGAAATCGCTGAGAAAAGAATGCCTCATGCATGATGTCAAAGGTATACAATCCACCTTGTTTACTGCCCTGTGCCACTACTCGGTTGGTGATTCTGTCCCTAATCAGAAATCTATTGCCATTAAACTCAAATTGGAGCGAAAAATCCGTGGTAAGTTTACTTACGGACAGTAAATCTTTCTTTATAGCTGGAACGTGCAGAACATCATTAAATGAAGGGAAGAAGACCCAGAATTGAATGTAGCCTTATCAATGTGTATAATAGGCAACGTGGTCCCATTACCAACCATAACACCATCAGGACCATGATAAGGACTCACAGAATGGAGATTGCGTGGATTACCTGTGATGTAGGCGGTGGCACCAGTGTTTGGAAACCATTCTAAGGACTGGTTATCAACAATAGTGACTGCAGCGAGGGTTTGGGGAATATCATCTCGAGTGAAAGAGTGATTGAACATGTTAAAACACTTCAATGCAATATGATTTGTTTTCCCACAAATTTGACAAATGGGTTTGTCTTCTGAAACTGAAGTACTAGCAGGGTCTTTTTGTGGAGTATAAGACTTTTGCTATGCAAATCCATGCCCCGGGAAGTACTGTGAGATGATCCAAAACCTTGACCTTTGGAGTTGCAGGTATTTTTCCCTCCAAAGCCATTTATGGAGTGCTACCATCTAGATGGTAACGTTCGGTGTGGCTCTCTAGAAGTGTAACAACTTCGGAGTAAGGTGGGGCTGGTAGACGGAGCATGGTAGTGCAGAAAGTGTAATATCCTTCACCAAGACCATTGAGAAGCCAAAAAGCTTTCTTATGATCAGTAGCAGCCCAGCAGGTTTTTTGATCGCTGCGAGATCATCGCAAACCGATTTGAACCTTCTCAAATACTCAGACAAGCTACTAGTGCCTTTGGTAATGGTAGTACGACGTTGTTTAAGGGCAAGACCGCGATACGATCTGAAGACACACGGGCAAATGCATGAACGAGGGCATTCCAAACTTCAGCTGCAGTATTGAGACCGATAATGATGCCAAGAACTTCTTCTGAGAGAGTGGCTGTTAATCATCCCTTCACTAATCGGTCAAATTTTCTCCAATTTAAAAATGACTGATTAAGGGCAGCTTGTGGGTGAAATTTGGATGCATCGGAGGTGACATAACGTGGTGGTGCTGTGATATCACCAGTGATGAAACCTTGAAGGTCATAACTTTCTAGTATATTGAGCATTTGAGTTTTCCATAGTAGGAAATTCGTAGTGACACAAAATTAGCGACACCTTGGAAGGAAAAAAACAAGTAAAAAATCTCTCTAACTCACTCTGCCCTAATACCATAAAGAGACTTTGAAGAACTCTAACTCAAGGTGAGTCTAGAGAAAGACTTCCATTATATTATATGGAGATGTGAGCCTTGGGTTATTTTACCCAATTACAAGATAATTACAATAACAGTAAATACAAGGATAAATATAACAATAGAAAGATAATCCCAATCAAGGAAGTTGAGATTTGATGGAAGAATCTTGTGATTTGAGAGGATCTTTTGAATTCGGTTTATTAGATTGGTGAGATATAAAATAATAAACAACAAAGAGAATGAATGAAATCAATCATACACACAAACAAGAACACAATTATTTATATTGTAAATCGCATGATAAGTCTATGTCCACAGTCATTGCAATTTCATTATAATATGAAAATAATTACAACCCTCTGCCCAATTATAAGAGGCGCCCACTTATCTATATAAGTATAGAAATTAAGGCATCATAGAAGTACCACAAAATTTCTCGAAGTATCAAAAAAACGTTGAGGGTTGGTCTCCTCGAACCCAATAATTGGTTGGGTGCCTAGTATAAAATACTTAGCAGAGTCATAATACCTAACATTATACGCCCACTCAAGCGAGTTTATACTAGAATGTTCAATTTGAAACTCGCTTGGGCTTTTGTAGTCCTGAGCAAGAGGCACCAATTTTATAAGTTTTAAGGCAGTTTAAAATCAATTTATAATCTTCCCGTCTTAAAATAATAGTCCCTTTTGAAAAATTTAATTTTTTAAGTAGTATAATTATTACACTTAAAAAAATTGATTTTCCAAAATTACCCTTTAATAGTATATTTTTTTGAAAATATCCATTGTCATAATTGTACTTTTTATGTTGTTAATAAATTTAAAAGAAAGACAAAATAGAAAATTCATATTATTTTTTTTCTTCATTTTTGAAAAGGGATTAATATTTTGGAACGGAGTGAGAATGAGATTTAAGGTTCTTGTTTTGCATTGGTTTGCTATTTTGTTTGCTTGTTCCCTCTTTGATTGGTTTCTCATCAACCTATTGGCTTAAACTAGCAGATGATTATGCATTCTCCTTAGTACCAACCTAGTTAGGATTAGGGAGATTTGCTATGATGCATTTTGCTCTTGCCTCCCCTCTTTGTTGATGTATACCATGATGTATTCTTGTTATGTTATTATCAACAAAAAGTTTTCTTTGGTGATAAAAAAAAAAAAAGTAATAATAGGGCACCCCAACTATAAAAAAGGCCCTAATTAATATGCTTAGTGAACATAATTCAATTTAGAATGATACTAGAGACCCCAAAAATTTTACTAAAAATTTTATCAAATATCTCACATGGGTGTAAGTCCCACACAATGTGGGTTCCATGTGGGTGTCACACCCATGTGAAACATTTGATAAAATTTTTGGTAGAATGTTTAAGACCTCTACATTTTTTATTCAATTTATACACTTTGTAATCATTTTGTTTTAAATTATTAGTTGGTGGTTTCCAAGTTGCTTTGGTGAATTCCATTGATGGCTCGGTAGATTGTCATGTTCAGTTTGTGATTGATTCTGCATGTATAGATATAAATAGTCATTGAACTTCAAATATATTATGATAATAAATTATTGACCATCAACCTATTTAAATGCCTAAGACATTTTTTTATTAGTAGAAAAGAATTATTATTAATAGTAACCTAGTTCGGATGAAGAGGTGCTGCTTTCAATAGATGGTTTGTTCTGTTTGTCTGCAGTGTGTATTAGAATCAGGTCAAAGGTTGCTTTGGTTGAAGTTTTTCTAGTTGCAATCTAAGGTTTTACTGAGGATTAGTAGTAATTCAGTTATTCAAGCTCCAAGTTTGCATTGGTGGGAGTTATTCAAGTTCCAAGCTTACTGTCTCTGCTGTCTGTGCATTAGGAGTTACTCAGCAGTTACAGGTAGTGGTCTGCTGGTCTGTTTTTTGTTGGGTTTTGATTTTTTTTTTTTTTTGGTTTCTCACTAACTCTGGGGTGTTAGCAAATGATAGGATGGACTTTTTGGTGCCAACCTGGTTGGGATGATTTAGCTCATTGTGATACTTTTACACTTCCCTTTTCTTAATTGATGTATTTCGTTTTGTTCTGTGTACTTGATTCTTTTTTTTTTTTTTTTCCGGCAAAACAAAGAAGCTTCATTGATGTAAAAATAAAGTACAAAGTAGAAGACAAAAAACAAAAAACAACAATAAAAAAGAAAAACGAGTGCAAAAGCATCACAATGGGCTGAATCATCCCAACCAAATTGGCACAAAAAAGCCCATCCTATCATTTGCTAGCACCGCCAGAGTTGGTGAGCAACCAACCAAAGAAACAAAAAGAAAACAAGAAAAAAAAAAAAAAAAGCAGCAGAGCATAGTGCATAATGCAGATTCACCAGCAGAGCATACTTGATTCTTACATCAATAAAGTTTCTTTTTTACCGATAAAAAAAAAAAAAAAAGAGGTGCTGCTTTGATTTTTTTTGCACTGCCCATTTTCTTATAGTAGTGTATGTTTGTATTGAACATTTGGTATACATCTATAAAAAAATAATAATAACAACATAACAGAAATGATATCTTATTATGCAATAGAGATAACTTTATTATTTATATTTTTCATATTTATTATCAAGATAAAAGAAAGAAAAAATGAAACATTTGTGTGCAAAATCATCCATGAGAGCTTAGGAGTTCCAATTATGGGCATTTATGGGTCGGTTTGGGCGGTTTAGGAGAAATAATCTCAATCAAACTGTCCTCAACAGATTGGTGATTTCTTAACCTACAACTAACCTCCCTATCTTCAAAACTGACGGATTGGATGAAATTTATGGCGATCTTGAACCAGTTGGCCTCCGTTTGGGAAGTGGGTTGGCTTTTTGACTTTTTGACTTTTTTGACTATTTTAGCCTGGGCTTAAAAGCTTGGTTTGGGAAGGGCTTTTTGACTTTTTGACTTTTTTGAGTTTTTTTGTGAGAGAAGAATGTAATGATTATGGGTTGGATGTGATGTTTTGTTTGTTATGGCTAAAATAGCCTATTTTATTTTTTGTGGCTAAAATAACCAAAAAAGCCAAAAAGCCTCGATTAATAGCTGTGATGTTTTTATGATTTTGTAGTATGCTAAGCTTATATACTTCTGCAATATTATTTTTAGTGGACAATTGTGCTCATTCCTTCATGAAAAACCATTTTTAGGTACAGGTAAGATGTTACCACCTCGTTGAAAGCTAGAGATTGACATTTTGGTGCAAGAAGGCTCTTTATTTTGTCGTTGATGTGTATAGCTTTTGAACTTACTAGTATGGATCGAAAACCACCTTTTGTTGTAACAAGGTTTCATGAAACCTTGAAAGATGTAAGCCCATTTGGCATTTACTTGCTATTTATATTATTGTAATAGCTTTCTTCATATGCTATAAATTCAGGCTATGAAGGTTGTAAATGTATCAATACATGGGAATCTTTTGTAACTCTTATGTTTCAAAGTGATGAAATGAAAGGAAGACAGGTTTATTTTAATTATGGTGAATCTTGTTTATTTTATTTTGATTAACAGTAATTAAATTCATTATCATCCCTTTCTTAGATATCGAAAAGGCCAATCCTCAGAGAACAACACACGGAAATGCCTAGCTACTTCTTGTTTCACCTGCACTGGATCCTCCACCCTTTGACCCTCCACAACAACAGAGTCTAACAAATTTTTCCTCTGTCTTCTACTGGCCATAATGTGAAAGTACCTAGTATTTTTATCCCCCGAGAGAGCCCATACCTGTCTAGACTTTTGAAGCCATAACCTTTCCTTACTCCTACTGAGCTGCCACACCTGGCTTCTAACTTCTCTTCTTCGCTTGAGTTCCTGAACTTCAAGGGACCTAGACTCTGCCTTCAAATCCCATTCATGTAGCTCCTCCTCTGCTGCCTTTAACTGAGTGTCTATATTGCCAAACACCTCCTTATTCCACACCCTTAAGTGACTCCTAAGCATATTCAGTTTTTTCATCACTCTAAACCCCGCCCACCCTTGAACTTGGGCTTCCTCCCACCTCTTTTTGACTTCTGACATGAATGATTTATGAGATAACCAGGCATTTATAAATTTAAAAGGTTTTGGACCCCAATCCCTATCATCCTCCTTAATCAAGATTGGACAGTGGTCAGAAATTGACCTAGGTAGACCCCATTGCTTAAAAGAAAACTTTTCCATCCACTTCAAGTCTAACAGAAATCTATCAATCCTACTCCACCTATTCCCATCCAGAGCATTGCACCAAGTATACTGCCTTCCAAGCAAAGGCATATTTGTTAATTCCAATTTTTCCACCAACTCATTAAAATCCTTCATCCCTCTTTCTCTAGATGAACAACCTTTCCTCTCCCCCATGTATCTTATTTCATTAAAATCCCCTCCCACACACCACGGGTTTGGAAAATGTTGCTGAATCCTCACCAGAGAATCCCACAGTTGTCTCCTCCTTATAACCTCATTAGGAGCATAAATATTCACCAGAGTGCACTGAAAATTATTAGTAGACATACCTGATAGAATAATGAAATTTTTGCTACTGCAACAATCCTGAAGCTTGAAGACTTGTGGCTTCCAAATACTTATGAGGCCTCCTGCACTACCCTCAGAGTCAACTACCATAAACTCCACTTCTTCATAAGGCCAGATTGTTTTTACGAAATTATCATCCATATAACTTCTTTTAGTCTCCTGTAGAAAGAGCACATCAACACTTCTCTCCCTCACCAAGCTTTTTATTTTTCCCCTTTTTTCTGGCCTCCCCAGCCCTCTTACATTCCACGATAAAATCTTCATAGTAACACACTACTGACGCCCATTCTCCTATACAGAACCAGCTAAATTCTGGTTGCCCTTTGTTCCCCTTCAATTCTGCTCAAGTCCTTCTCTTCCAGCTCCACTATTCTGCTCACTACCTCCTTCTCTTTACCTTGGCAATCCATTCCCAACATTGTGCCTACTCTCACAGTTTCCTTGGCCTCCTCAATCGTTTGCCTCCTTCTACTCGCTGCCTGACTCTGATTAGTGGCCGTTAGGTAAGCTGCTGTTTCTGCCGAAGTCAAAAATTTAATTTTTTTACACTTTTCAAATCATAAAACAAACAAATAAATAAAATAAAATTCTAATATATTAATATCATTGTTTCAAAAAATAAAATGTAGACACAAAAATTTACATAAATATATTTTGTTTTTATCACTAGCATAATAAAAAAATATGAAGAAAACTCTTTTAATTTAAATTTATATAAGTTATAAAATTGTTGATCAACATTAACATTCAAGTGGTACACTTGTTGAGAATAGCTCGCAAAATGGCTCCCCGCTGAAAGCCCAGTCTGCCGAACACCCCTCTCCCTCGGTCTACTCCTTTCTTCCAAGTCTTTCCCCTATTCTGCACTGCCCCATTCTTTGTATTACCCACTGTTGCTGTCCATGGGGCCAAGTTTTTCTGATTTGTTTGGGTTGCATGAGGCCTAACTTGAGGTTGGGCCATATTTTCACTCAGATCTGATACCACCTCCTGCACCATTCCATTGGGCTCTATCCCCATCTGCTTTCCTTCAATTACTACCTCTAAATTTATTGTGGGCCTTGCTTCTTCTGGCCCACTTAACTCTCTTAAGAGACCTGTGTTACACATTGCCTCATCTCTAACTTGAATTTCTTTCTGACTTAGCTTGGGCGAGTTGACCTTCTTCTCCAACCCCTTAGCCTTGGAACCTGCACCATCATAGCCTTTCCCCACGCTCCCCCCTATAGCTGCCACTTTGTCTGCTTGCTTTCCATCATTATCCCTACCTGGCTTTTCAGGACTATCCATCACAGTCTCCTCCACCCTACTAGCCCCCTCGATTCCAACACTCACCAACCCCTCTCTTCCTTCAGACGCTACCCCGGTATGCTTGCATCTTCCTCCATTGCCAGACAATTGATCTTCCTCTTCGATGCCTTTGGATTGCAGCCATCCCTGCTCTATCCCATTGCTCTGAGAAGGACTAGGAATTAAGCACCTAGGCAACTCTTCACAGACTCTAACTGGAATTTGACTACCTTTGTGATCCAGAACAACTGTTGTATTAATCCATTCTAGACATCTTGTGATTACTCTAACCTTGGTTTGTTGAAAAGTTAATGGGTTGTTGAAGTCCTCCTCAAACTGAACTACCTCCCCCCAATAACTGCCTATGCTTCGAACCGTCGTGGTGCTCCATAGGTTGATCGGAATACCAAAACAATGTAACCAAACACACCTCTCTTGCTCGAAAAACTAGCTTTCTTCCCACTCGTTATTGAGTCACACCACTTCTCACCCTATTCCTGCAACTCTCTTTTTCCTTCCTGCATGAGCTGTGCCGAGGGAAAAGTTAAGAGCACCAGTCTGCCTCCCCCTTCTCTTGCAACTACATCTGTCATGCCCCTACATATCATTTCCTCCCTGAAATCCTTGAATGCTAAAAAGCTGCTCAGTTGAACTATTAAGCTTTCACTCCTCCACCCATTCCCTTCCGCTTGAGCCTTTATCACCACCCTGTCCCTGCCTCTGGCATCTGCACTGAGTAATACCTCTGCATAAGATTTCTGATCTCCCTTGCCTGTCCATTTCGTTGCTTGCACCCATCTATTCTGCACTCGACCTTCATCTCCTCTGTTCCGCCCCCTATGCTTCTGCTGCCCCCCTGCCGGAATCTTTTGATATTCTGCCCGCTTTACTCTTAGTGCCTTGTTTCCACACCACAGACCATCTGCTTTCTGTATCGTCACACTAGCAGCCACTTGACAATCATATCTTACGAACCCGAATCTGGAATTTGAAGCTTTCCTCCGCTTTCCTGGAATAAACACATCTTTAACTAAGCCAAACTTTCTAAAGAGAGTGAATAAACTTTTGGAATCCATTGAATCAGGTATGTTGTCCACAAAAATGGTGATCCAGCCTCCCTCCGTGTTTTCTCTCTGTTGACTTCCCACTTTTCTTCTGTGTACTACTGGTTTCCATCCTCCTCGCTCCATAATCAAAATGTTCAAATCTACTTCACTTGTTGGTGGGAGTGGGGTGCAAACTACTGTTAGTGATTCACAACAAAAAGACTTTGAATATGTTATTACAAGAAAACCTAAAAACCAGTTCCATACTCATCAAAAGAAAAAGGGCAGCCCCAAGTTAGGCAGTCACCATTGTTGTCTTTTGAAGGAAGAGAAAATAAGAAAAGGCACCAGATGAGTGAATGCTTGCTAGAAACTAGTTGTAGACCAGAAGCAAATGGGAAAAGACACCAAATGGTCGAAGTGCAAATTCTTTTAAATGAGTTGATATTCAACCATTCAATAATACTACTATATGGATCAAAAAATATATTAGTATAGTCTTATTTAATGTAACTTTTCTCATATTGAAAATTGGTAATCATAAAGTATATCCCAACCTCGTAATTTGTTTTTTAACATTTTGTTTTAGCTCATATGTTATAAATAGAAACTGCAATAAACACTTTGCACAAACTCTCATAAAAAAAAAGAAGAAAAACTTCAATATATAAGTTGCATGGAATAGTTCGAATGCCAGATGATAAAGGAAGCTTATTGAAACACAATCTACACACATAATCGCATAGAGAAGAACACAAACAAGAAGCAAGAAGAAGAACCAAACATCATGGCTCTGTATTTCTCTCTTTTTTTTTTCTCTCTCTCTCTCTCTCTTTGAAATGGTTATTCTGATCAATGACTTTGGTCACATTTTGTTTTCTTTTTCCAGGTTAGCAGAAATAGGAACAGGAAAGCTAAACAGCGAACAAGTAATAGAAATTTACAACTTTTTGGAAAGGGACTGTGCTAAAGAAAGAATGGAGAGAAAGGAGCGAGAGAATGGAGAGAAAGGAGCGAGAGAAAAGGAGGATGGAAGCCAGTACTTTCTGGTAAAGGGAGACGTTTCTCCAGAAGCAACGAGGATGGTAGACCAGGGTTGTTTACTATCTTTGTAGACAACCTTCCTTGGTGCGTGAGTCCAAAAGGTCTTCATGCTCTATTTACAAAGTTTGGAGTTGTCAGAGATGTTTTCATTCCAAATAAAACCAGGAAAGTGACAAAGTCAAGATTCGGGTTCGTCAGGTATGATTGCCAAGTTGCAGCCGCAATGGCGGTCCAAAAGGCCAATGGGGTGTGGTGTGACGACAAAGAGCTTAAGGTTAAGGTAGCAGCGTTTGGGAAAGATGACTCTGTCAAACCCTTTAGCAAGAACCTATTGGTCATCAATAAAGAAGGAAGAAATGAGGAGCGACTTAAACCACCGTCAGGTCGAATACCTATACTGGGGTTTGTTGGTCAAAAATCTTATGTCGAAGCCTTATTTGATGATCCTGCTAAGGGGAGAGAGAGCCGTGTAGTATATGCTAACGAAGTTGGGAATGGCTAGCATTATGATAGCCTTATTGTTAAGCTGAAGTGCTTCCTAGCCTTTCCCGAGTTTCAAAAAGCTATTCTTGAAAAAGGTTCTAAGGATATTGCAGTAAAGGAAGGTGAGAGTAGAACAGCCATAGTCTCATTCAAATTAGCTGATCATCTTAAAGAGAATCAAGTCTTACTTCATGATTGTCTGAAGGATTAGTGTGAGTTTGTATCCTTATGGGGGTAGAATGGTCACATTGAATAAGAATGAGGAGTATGGTTAAGCTGCTACGGTGTGCCACTCAATCTTTGGAACAACGACACTTTTATGAAGCTCGGAAGGTTATGGGGGGTGGTACTCTAGATTGATGAGAAACTTCTAATCAAACATCATTCGGGTATGGGAGAATTAGAATTGCAACTAATTTTATGGACCCTATTAACACAGTTGTTCAGGTAAAGTGCAGAGACAAAAGTTACCTAGTTCGAATCTGTGAGGAGCAAATCGTGATTACCAAGGTGGTGAATGAGGTTTGTATGTGCACTATGCATGAGTGCCTTAGCTCTAACATACATGAGAAGCATGTAGAAGAGGTGGGCGATAGCCTGAAGGAAGAAGATGATGATGTGGATACTACCATCCATACAGAGGTGGCAAGTGGGGAAGAGGTGGCAACCATACAAAGGACAGAGTTGGTTAATGGTGGGTCCAATAAGGCGGATAGAATGACAAACGGTTTAGATCCATCTTTGGTGGTGGAAGCCATGAGTAGAGATATGGGGAACACAAACCAAAATGGGGTGTGCGCAGTTAACGTGGTGGATGACAGCCCTTCTGATTCTCAGAAGCGTGATGGGGGCAGTTTAGGTGAAGAGGGAGGGGTTTCCACTAGGGGGTTCATGAAAAGTCTTAGTGGACCAATGACTACTGGGCCTGGTATAAAGATTTAGGTTGTTTTGGAGGAGGTTTAATTGGGCAAAGTTATTGATAAGCCAAATCCAGATATTGAGGTTGTGGGTCAGGCCCATAATGGAAGGGAAATTTCTCAGACCCAGGAGATGGACCATCCTATCTCTGATCCACAGCCCATTGTTTGTGTCGGCACTTTTGAGGGAGAACCAAGCAGGTGTCATCTTCATCCTAGGGCCAACGTCCTCAAGAGAAAAGCTTTAGTTGCTTAGAGAGGATTTGGAGCAAGGATTGGTAGGGATTATCGACTTTATAGGAGGGGCTTGCAGAGTGGTGGTCCACCGATTGTGAAGAACTGGGTTAAAGGTCCAGTGTTT